ATTAATTCGAAAAGATTTCAAATTCAAATTAATCTAATTTGAATTTCAAATCCACCCTCATTAATTACATTAATTTTAGGAAGTTTATTTATTTAATTAATTAATCAATTTTGAAATTGATTGATTAATTAATCTCATATCCAAATTTTAAATGTTTTCCTAATTAGTACATCTATTTTAGGAAGCATCCTTCAATCATATTAAATCTAAAATTATTTCAGATTTAACTCTCCAATCTCCCATTAATGCATGAGTCCACATACATTGTATGTGGACACCTTTTCTCTTCCCTCCATTGGCCGACCCACCTCTCCCCTAATTTACGGCCTAAAATTAGGGAATATTAATTATCTCTTCCCTCATTTATTCTTCTTGTTTGAAATTTGAAATTTTTTAAATCTCCCCCACCTCCTCTCGTTCTACATCAATATTGCCTTAGCAATCCGCAGAGGATTGCCAGGTTGATGAATTGCTCTATGACTTCTAACCAACCTCCAACACATCAATTAGTAAGCTCAAGGAACATGGGTAAAAGCATGTAATCGTAGGAATAATAATAAAGGTGTTACTTTGAGCCGTCTCGTAGGCCCGTAAACAATTGTTTCTCTATCACCCTTTATAAACAAGGACTATATACCCGATAGGAAGGGTTACCGTAACTATGACACCGAGCAAATGCTTTGATGATATGAAGACAAAAAATTCAGAGAAAAGCAATCAATTTCACACCTTTATATCCATGCCCAAGATGAAAGGTATAACACCTTAACCATATATGTCCTAACCATTTACTGCTCATCCTTCTTATTTTCTTCCCAAAGCATTTCTTTTTACAACCAGCATAACAATTGGCTTAATGAATAAGTGGCATTGTTTAGATGTAAAAAAAGGGTATTATGATGTAGAACGGGAGGAGGTGGGGGAGATTTAAAAAAATTCGAATTTCAAACAAGAAGAATAAAGGAGGGAAGAGGTAATTAATATTCCCTAATCTTAGGCCGTTAATTAGTGAATAAATAATTAGAGAGGGAAGAGAAGGTGGGCCGGCCAGTGGAGGGAAGAGAAAAGGTATGTGGACCCATGCATTAATGGGAGATTAGAGAGTTAAATCTGAAATAATTTCAGATTTAATATGATTGAATGATGCTTCCTAAAATAGATGTACTAATTAGGAAAGCATTTGAATATGATATTAATTAATCAATCAATTTCAAAATTGATTAATTAATTAAATAAAAAAACTTCCTAAAATTAATGTAATTTATGAGGGTGGATTTGAAATTCAAACTAGATTAATTCGAATTTGAAATCTTTCTGAATTAATGACATCCTAAATAAGAAAAGAGGAGTTTTGGAGGGAAGTGATATTAGGCAAAGAGATTGCTGGTGGGTGGGTTTGGGTGATGTTGGGGATGAAGCCGGCGGATTGGAGAGACTGACGGCTGAGGAGGTTGGCGGGGGGTGTTGGAGGTGGAGCCAAGGCCTTGGGGAGGGAGAAGGGGAGGTCGGTTTTGTGGAAGTGGAAGGGTTTATAGGAGAATCTGCTGGTGGAAAGTGGGGGATTTTGGCCAGAGGTCAAGGGAGGATGAGAAGAGTATTTAGGGAAAGAAAGATACAACCGCATGCCCGGACACATCCTGCAGCTGACGTCTACTACGTTGTCCTTCACCAAGGGACTTCAGGCCACGAGCCCAGACACATCCTGCGGCTGGTGGAAGCTATGAATTCCTCTCATGGGAATCTCACCCAAGGTTCTTCCCAAAGAACACAAGTGCAAACACAACATTTTTTTAATCATCCAACATTACATAAGCAATGACCTCTATATATAGGTCTAAGAAACTAAAACAAGACATTTATGCCCCTAGGGCTTACATAGAACGACCCTCTTAAGGGTAAAAAGAACAATTACAAATAACAAATTAAGATAAGGTGGAATGATCTCGGCCGTCGATCGTCATCTCCTCCTTTGATCGAATTTCCGCATCATATTAGCTTAATGAATAAGTGGTGAAATGTATTGCAATTGGTCGACAATTCCAAGTGAAATACTCTCCTAAAATGATGATAATTGTCAACACTATGTGAATGCCAACTCTCTAACAAGAGGATGGATCCAGAGGCTCAACCTCACAAGGAAAAAAAACACTAAATGATCATATTTATGTCATGTTAGCATCAAGGACACTAATGCCTTCAAGGCCACTATTTAGAGACAGCTATTTGAGGCAGACAACCTCATGTGTCATGTTCTATTGTTTAGCTTCATGTTCTTCATTATCTTTAGCTTCTTATCTCATGAATTTCATGATGTCTATAATTATATTTCCTGTCTTCTAAGGAGTATTTCTCAAACACGCCATCTTTATATGTCCTTTTAGAACAACAACGGATAGAAAAGAGCTAAACAGAAGCAAATTGGAAGCTAAGTGTAGGTGTCAAATAAGGTTATTGTCAGCAAGAGACCTGGCGGGCGGAAAAGTTGTGGATTTTGCCCAAAAGGTTCTAAGATTATTCCAAATGTTTTTTTTTTTTAAATTAGATGTGAGCCTTGCTTGCAAGGCGCCAACTTAGGCTTGTACTGGCAACTTAAAATGATGTTTAATTTAAGCAATTTGTGATATGGCTATCAGTGTTTTATCTAACTACAATTTCTTTTTTGGTGCAACCACATATTAGGGATGCAAATGACAGGCTGGGGCTGCTTCCAATAGGTTAGTTCCAATTTGACAGCTTGACAAATCAAGTTGAGGTAACGTCAAGAGCAATCTAAGAGGTTTATCATAAATATTTTTACTTAACAAAAGTACATGCGACTTTTCCTAATTATAGTAAGAAGATAATGGCCTAAAATTGATTATTTTTTATGGAAGAATTATTAACCACATCTACTCATGCCAATCTAAATGTAGGATCATTACAAAATAGGATCTGGATGCAAAATGAATTGCCATGAACTCAACTTTAGTTAAATATTGCATTGACAAAAATCAATGTGATAACTAAACTAATATCACTAATTTAGAATTTTATTAACTTGCATATTTAAATGAAACCTAACTGATTTTATAAGAGAAATTTATTTATAGTTCATAAGCTTGAGGCGAGTTCACATTTTTAGTGTTTATTGTTCATCAAAATATTTATTGAACAAGTGATTGTATAGATTATACGCCTATGCACTTTTTTCATAATAAACACAATAATTTTACTTTAGGCTCAAGACCATAAAATTGAAACACATTGAACAAAATAAATCAAAACAGAATGCAACAGAAATAAAATTATCATCTTAAAATATAACTATCAAGTCTAAATTTATTAGGAGAAAATATCAATGGTTTGATTTTTTAAACCAGACAACTATTCAAAATGAAGTAGGGATAATCTCAATTCATTAAGTAGCACAAGGAGGTATGAGTAGCACAGCTTAATAACTAAATGAGAAGCATCAACAGAGTGCTTAACTATAGCTTCAGTTTCAAAGGTAGGATTAGAAATGAAGTCAGATGTGGGTTCAAATTCATATGGAAACTCGAGCTTAGACTCAATATTAAAAATTTTGATATTGGGTCATGCCCCTAAATATCCTCGAAGGAACCAAACTCTAGAGCAAAGGAATCTAAGAGAATTTTTACGAGTGGTTTAGCCTCTGATTCATCCGTTGGAGGTGGAATAAACTTCAATGAAGCCAGTTGGGAAAGAAAATTTCGATGGAATGCTAATTAATCTGACATGTTCATTATTCTTTTAAACATTTCATCAAAATTTTCGTAAAATAATGATAGGAAATGTCATCAACAAAATTTGGTTAAAATCTCTACTAAAAGTCCTATCCTGATGGCTTTATGAATGAAACCAAACAATAGGATCTTCCCTACAAGCTTTGCCAAGCAGTTAGTGCTACAATGTGAACAGTTTAGGATTATATCAATGTTAATGAGGCTGGAGGAGACTATCAATAATAAAAGTACATCTTCCCGTCTATCATTAGCTCTATCAATTCTCCCATCAACGACATCTAACATTAACAAGATCAATTTCTACCAATGAAAGAATGTACTTGCACAAGTAATTCAGGATTTATTATAATATAGTTCACAATTGTTGAGAATCAAAAGAAGTCAGCAACATCTCATGCTTTATCCGCCTCTCCTAAAGTTTAGCTATTTATAGCTCCTTGAGTTTTGGTAAAGAGCAAAAACCTCCCTTATATTAACTACTCCATCCGATTTCCATTAAATCAAAGAGTATCATAGTCATTTGGCGTTTAAGATTATTTTCTCAACTTTTTTAATAGTGTAAAATTTAAATTAAATTATTTTGAAGTAATGGGTAAAGAAAAAGTCATTTCATGCTTTATAATTATTAACTATCAGGCAAAAGGAGCAATAACAAGCTAGGGTCTGCAATCTTGATACTTAACCATCAGGAATGTTACAAAGCTCATTTCTTAAATCTACAAAACCAAAAAGTCATAGTGATGCAATCATGATGGAACTTTTAGTTATAGGCTTTAAAATCAAAACTCAATCCCTAGGCAAACAATATCCCCACAACTCTGGTTACTGAATCAGCAAGTCTAATATGCCAATCAAGACGTAAGAACTACTGCTCCAAAAAATACTTTGTTCAGACACCTATTAGGTTATAATAGCAGTTTTAGAAGGCAAGCCACAACAAACAAACTTTTTTTTTTTTTTTTTTTGATAAAAATCTTGTCCTTATGAGCCATAATTAGCTACTTGGATTGCCCTGTAGTTGAACTTTTTGCTATCAGTTATGAACTGACTTTTTGCTAATTTGATAAATAAAAATATAGTCCCAGAAAATACAGAGAGACCAACGAAAATATAAATATAGTAGCACAAGTTACTCAATTAAAGATCACTTCTACAATTTGTATTTTCTCCTACATGCAATATCTTCTTGTATAGGTTCAGTATAATACCACTACAAGTACCCATAGATTACACAAGTGTTATGGTTGAATAGCAGACCTTGACTGCTACTAGCTCTTGATGCCTCAGCAGCAACAGTGGAAGATGTAGGTTGAGACAGGGTCGGCTGCCTTAAAACCAAATGTAGAGTGTCTCCATCCTCCATATCTAATATATTCAAGGCCCACAGTAGTGGAAAAACAACGCCATAGAAAAATAACAGGGTAACAAAACATGCAAACAGAAGAAAATAGCCAGAAAAACAAACAAATATTGAAGTACTAATTAGTTTAAACCATAAGAATTTAAAAAAAAAAACAGTGCATATGTAAGACTTATTAAAAATAAAAGGTTAATAATAGGAAGAAGATATAATAATACAAGATGAATATCTGAAATTATATTTTATGTTGATACTTGATTTGAACATAAAGAGGTTGAGCCGTCTTAACACCCACAATAGTTTGATAGATGCCTCAACAAAATGGAAACTGAACATGTTATATATGTTTGATAAATATTCAAGTGTAATACCTAGCAAACTAGCCCATTCTGAACAATTCAAAAATATTTAAATCAAATAACAGTGGTTTGACAGTGTGAAAGCCTTCCTTGCTGGTGTACAATTAACTTGCGGATGTTTTTATTTGATACTTGATTTGACTGATGAGGTTAATACATTCTATTACCCTAGAATTTTTGGCAGATGCTCCAAAAAATTATAATTGATCATTTTTTTATTTTTACGTAGCTTCCACAGAATTTGTCTAAATAGCTCTACCTAAATAATTTAAAGCACATTCATAGCCAAATCTGAAGGGACTTGAAGTCTTGCTAGGACTTGAAGTTTTTTATAAAGACTTGCCAGCTAGTTGTGAACTAGCTGCCCATGAGATCATGTTCAACCGGATTTGTTGTTATATTTAGTTTGTTATTATAAATTAGATCATGGGAGATGCTGTGCACTTCAATCTAGAAACTCAATAATTTTGGCTTTGACTGACAATCTCGTACCAAATCATTTTTCATACAAGTTAATTTATGTTGTGTCCATAACTGGCCCGCCTTAAACTTATTAAAGATAGAATAAAGAATCAACTGAAAATGACAAATAAAAAAAAATAATAAAGAAACAAGCCAGCTACATGCACAATAACTTAAGAACTAAGAATGTTCTAGAAGACAAGCAAAGCTTGGTATTCTCAATACAACGCAGATTTGCTCTTACAGGAAAAAATAGAGAAAACAGTCATGGACCGTAGAAATCCTGTTGCATTATCAAATTTGGTAAAGATATAAACCATTTAAACAGAAGCAGAGGAACCTCATAAAGAGAATAAGAAGATTTTCAACCTGTCATTCCCCTAACCTAAAAAAACTATTAGCATTATCATTCTACTTCCAAAATATTTGGCCATAACTTTTCAAAATATTTCAAAATAGTAAACCCAAAGCTACGCAAAAATACTAATTATAAAAATGGGGTTCTTCCACCTAACAAAATATCATCTTCTAATGCACTGGTGGCAGTATTTCTACTTCTAAACAGGTTTTACTCAGAACTTAGGATCAACTTTGGATCCAACCTTCAAATCAATGCCTTCCTGGATTGCTAGTCCAGCTCTTGCACCTACTAACATGACTAAAGATTCTATACCTCTTGGGGGGGTCCTTGCTTCTGATGAATTTCTTGATGCTATGGATATGGGTGATTCAGACATTCTTTATATGGCCTCTACTATGAGCATTTCTAGGAAGAGGATTTTGTTAACAAAAGGTTTCAAATTATATATTCTCGGAGAGGATAAAATACCATGAAAGGGATTTTTCCGTCAATGTGTTTTGTAATTTTTTTTTTTTTCATTTCATCAAGCAAGAATTTGCTATAGCTTCATGTTATACACTTTTCCTTAAAAGATAATAGATCAAATTTTGTTTAAAAAGAAAAAAGCAAATTGCACAGTCGACACACTAGCTCATTTGTAAGAGATGTGTTGACCTTCTTCCTAGTCTAATATAAATAAGTTCAGATTTTATCATCACTCGACTTAGGCTCGTTAAGCCTAAATCCAATCCCAGATATAGGCCCAATCCCAATTCAACCAGGCAAGATCAAAAACACAGGGAACATAGGTGGCGATATTGAGAATGAATAAAGGTGGTAGCATGGAGAAGGGTTGTAATGTAGAAGATCAGAGAAAATTAACAAGTGATGTGGCACAACCTCATATACCCAAGCCAAATATAAGATCACAAACAAGAGCTTTGCATCAAATATGAAGATCACCATTAATTCTTTGCAAAATTCAAAGCACAAAGGATTTGATCAAATACTTGGTCAAACCCTAATCGTATGAATTTCAACATGAACATTAAATTCCACTCTCCTTACTTTAATGCATGAGACTCCCCCTACCCGTCTCCCTTCAATTTAATTGAATATTGCATTAGGAAGGTTCCGAGACTGGGTTATTTGTATCGGCCAACCTTAGTTGATGAAAATAGGCCTAATTTTATGTAATGCTCTCTTGTAGCCAAAGAAATATTCTCATGTAACAATAATGATCCATTAAATAAAATGGTGTAGATTGTGGCTTGTTTGCCATTAAAGCAATGGCTTGATGGCTTCCACTTATTTAAGTTCTTTGGTTATACCTTTTTGGGAAAATTATTAGGAGAACTTTTTTCACACATGTTTAATTATCTTGTAAACTCAACCTCTCTCTTCTGCTCTCTCTCACTTCATCCTTCATGCCCTGATCATAGTTGAAGACAAGAAGACCATGACAGTGAAGCTAACAAGATCCCATGGCTAGAAGATGATGAAGCGGTTAGTGGGAGGCAACTTTTAATACGTTCAGAATTCAAGAAATAAAAGGCGCAGTCAAACAGATCATGAAGTGCAAATGAAAACAAGGGCAGGAGAGCCACTCATGACAATATTTCATGAATAGAAGTAGTTTGTAAGATGTGATCGGAAATAACATGATTCAAATATAATATTATAAAGAGAGAGCTTAAGAGAAATTAATCTTGTATTGGGTTTAGTACAAACATGTCTCTATATATACACAAAAGAAGATAGCATAAAAGTAATAAAAAATACCTCCAATAATGAGAAAATATCAAGATGAGGTGATGATACATAACAAAGATCCTAGCTACATATAATTTCTCATATATGATAATATAAATAAAATAACAATAACCATTTTGAAGCACAATAAAATATAATATTAAATCATGAATAAGGTCCCAAGACTATTATTAAAAACAATTAAAAACGAAGAAAGAATCCAACATAACCAATGCCAGGATACGAAGTTCAGATAACAATTGCTCATCTTTGAGAACCTTTCCTCTGTAAATTAGTCGTTGTTGTTCTGGGGGAACACCAATGGTGGTCACTATCATCTCCTTTAAATCTGGCACCGGTATCTGAAATAGACATTAATATTATAATGAATCAATTGTACATAAGCTAATAAGTTCTGAGAGGCAAGTTTTAATGCTTTCATGATGTGCTTTTCAAGCACACTTAGCTTTTGATATGACAAAAGATCCATTAAGAATAACAACATTATAAAGTCACAAGCCTGATCCAACTGCAATGAAAAACAAATACCTAAAACTAATAGAGATATAACCATAAGCAACAATGAATCCACAATAGGGAAGAGAGAGAGGGGGTATCCATAAGATAATGAACGACTACATTTAGGCTTCATTTAGCATTAATGCAGTTTCATCAAAATTCTTATTGAGACAAACGAGCCGCTCATTTTATTACTAAACTTAGGGTACTAACCATTTAAGTTCAAACTATGTATATACATAATTCAAATATATTTAATTACCCATAGAATTCCTCATTTCCCAGTATTACTCTTTTAAAATTGATAAACCCATGGGCATGCTATAGTTGGGCCCTAGGAAAAAGAAGGCCATTTGTTCCATTAAATTTGGTCTATTACTAAGAGCCCAAATAGTATTTGATACCCTTCATGAAGAAAATGCCAATTCTAATGTTTAAGCCATATTAGATTTATACAGGGTTAGACTATGGATGCTCATGCCTCTTTTACTTTTACAAGAAAATAGCTATTATTATATTACACTCAAGCCAACTAGAAATACCTACCCACCATGCAAATCTAACGAGGATAGCAAGGAGCTCACTCTTCAACTCTCCAGGCATAGTTTGGACATCTATCAAGGTAAGCACCCTACCTATTGGCATCATCAAATAAGCCGATCATTATGAGAGACCAAATATAGTAAAAGCTAAAGAAGTGGAAGCTAAAATAACTATAGGGAAAAAATGCTGGAATTATGAGCAACATGCCAATATTGCTCTACTTATCTACTATTGATCGAGTTAGTGGTGCAATAAAAAAGCCTTTATTCATTAAAAATTGAAGTATTGTGCATTACTATTATTTAAGTTGTCTCAATGCCACATTATTTTCAGTTTCCTAGTTCCAATTTTGTAAGATGGTTATGAAGTTGGTGTTTATAAGATCTTGATATGTTCTCTGTCGTTTCTGATCAGCCCATTCCGTCTAATTTACTACTCCAAGTTGTTTCAATTCAGCTATTGAACTCCCTAGTTTGGTTAAAACTGATTCTGCATTTCAGCAAATAATTTGTTTCCTAATTTTCATTTCAGCTATTACCATTCAGTCACTGTTTTGGGAAGTTATTGTTGCTAATTTCATGTTCTGACACCATGAAAGTAGGTACTATGAAACCCAGCTTCGAATCTAGGGACCTAATAGAAGCTAATAGTCATTACCCTACTTTTTCACTTCCAAATTTCAGCTACAATGGCTATGTTGCTATTATGTCAACTTTCTGACTCTAGCTACAGTAGATGCCAATACTTATTGATTTTCAGTTCTAATTGCAATAACATGGTGAGTGTTTCATGTGCAGCTGCTTCAGGTTTCCCTACATGTAACCTTCCTTCAATAGCCAAGTTAACAGCTGTGTTTACTTATTCACCCAATTTTGGCATTGTATCTTTAGTCCAATCGTTTGGCTTCCTTATATTCCCAGTTATGACACTGTAGCAGGGACTAGGAATTGCTGGAAATGGTTGGAAAATAGATATTGAAAGTAGAAACTAATTGTTTTGCAGAAACAAAAGATGGAAACTTGATGTTCTTGTTGGAGTTCAAGTCAACTGAATTGAAATTTAAAGTATTAAGACAGATTTTGAGGGCTTCTAATAAGTTAGTTTAAATCATTTAAAGTTATAAACAAGACCCTTGAAGTATGTAAAATACATTAAATAGTTAAATAAAAGTCATGTTACCTCTCAAATTTTGTGTATTATTAGATGTGGATTCTTCAAGTGCTTTACAAGTTTTTTTGACAATTTTCTGGGGACAATTCTCCTTTTATCAGCCTGGATCTATAAATTTGTGATATCTATCATTCTTTTTTCATCTATATTTATTTGTGATGATTTGTACGTGTAATTGAGATTCAGCAAGTTTGATACAAAATGATTTTCTTTTAGGGGTGCAAATCAATAATGTTTTATATTCGTTCTCAGATTTGTTATGTAATTTATTATTTTAAAAACTTTATATTATGATTTCAAATGAAGTGTGTTTAATAAATTTGCAACAAAGAGTACTCATTTGCCTGTATTAAAGATTGGATATAGTCATGGTAATCTTTTGTAGGTTTCCTGGACTATCTCATCCTAGGATTACATTAGTGACTGTAAGCACTAAGATGACTTGCATCAAACTGGTATAAGCGCTTATGATTGCATTTCATGCCAACTAAAAGTAGGCATTGGAACAACCAAAAATGAAAAAATTATGCTATTTAAATAGGATCGAGGAAGTTAAATTTCTACACAAACCCAATGTTACTAATGTTATGATCAAAATAACTTCCCTATATTCGATAGGACGCATAATCTTAAGAGGATTTTGGAAAGGAAAAATAATTTGGAATACTTATATGAACGGTATCATCCCTTTGATCTTGAAATACCTAATGTGCTAAATCAAAACAAGGGACCTACTAGTGAAATATTACAAGAGAAACTAAGCCTATAGGGGCTTAGCTAAATCATAAACTTAAAAGAGAAATACAGGTCAATGTAACTAAAAATCATTTTTCTTGATATTGTTTTTTACCATTATCTGTTTCATTAAAAATCTTGGGCAAGATATTAGAAATAAACAAAGCTTCAATTCACCAAAAATACAAAGTTATGTTATTTAGATCTTTAAATGCCGAGGCACACTAAGTAAATTATGTTAGGATTACCGCACCAGTAATTAAAGAATTTGAAGAAAAATATTTAAAATTGCAATATGAGTTGACATATAATTGCTAAATCAAGCATAATCAAATATGACCTAATAAAAGAAACTTCTATTTATGAATAATATTTTGATAGCGTTTTTTATTATTATTTTGATGACGTATTAGATGCAGAAAAAGATTTACAATTGCAATATGAGTCGCCATATAATTGCTTTGCATTACAAAATGATTACAAACCATAATTTAAATTTAAACAAAATTTAGAGTTCGACTTAAAATTGACTTTGAGTATGACATCAATTATGAATCTAAAACTCCATCCATCATAAATTAAACTAGAAATTGAAAATGAGCCTACAATTTTATTTGAACCTAAATTGCAATTAAAACCTTAACTTTTAAATCCTGAATGCTAGCTTGAATATAAAAAACAACATTTAATCTATTATGGATGTGAAGTTGAACAAATCATGCTTACTATAGATTATAAACAAATTGTGAAATTGATAAAATTATTCCTAAATGTGAAGGTGAACAAATCATGCTTCTAAAGCTAATAAATCAATTGGACACGTTGATTAACTCATGTTGAATATTTTTATGAAATTATTTCGACAAATTAGCCTACAATTGAATTTGCTTTTTGGTATTTGATTTCTTAATTTTCAAAATCATAAAATAAAATAAAAAACTATGTTGAAAATGAAATTTCGTGAGTATTTTAATAACCTTGTTAGCAAGAAGTGGCTTAAAGAAAACTTGAACATTAGTTTTATATAATGGATGAATTTAAAAATGCATAAATGATCAACATTAATATTTATGTCAATTTCTTAATTCCTTCATAGAAGTTATTTTTTCATATAGGTATATCATATTTGTGTGGTTTAATTATTTTCAATTTCTTTATCACCATATCTTAAAGGAATAAGTTAAAAATCATCATTAGTATCCATCAAGATGCATATTGGTGTTTTGGTGTTCTCATTACTTACTTCATTCGTGGAAAACTAATAATTAATTATAAGAATTATAAGTCTATTGCTGCTGTGAATAGAAGATATGTGAAATTCAAACCAGACAACAAATTAATGGTAAACCCAAATCCAAAAAGGCTTCCCATTAGGACTTTAAAAAACTAAATACAAAAAAAAAAAGCAAGGCAATATTACAATGCACTAGAAAATATACTTATAAAATAAAAATTCTGAATAACTATGATATCACTACATACTTCAGTATATCTGGTTTGGCTTTATTTCATGAACATGCTACTAATGTCGTTGATTCTTACCAGTTTTCATCTACTCGTAATTCAAATCCAACAACTTTCGACCCAAATTTACTCATCATATTTCAGATGCTATCATACTAGTCGGATTATGTCAACTAGATTGTGGAAATAAAGAATATCTTATGTTTTAGGATGGCATAACTACTTGTGATTATTCAGTGATAATTTTGCATGAAACAAGACATTTGTATGTCAAGAAGAATGATGCAAATCCAAGACTTTATTTATTATAAACACAAATCATGTGCATTGATATCAACTCTATCTTATTCTTCAATTTTCTGACTTCTAATTTGAATGTAACGTACCTATGATGTTGGTGTAAATGATAGAAATATATTCTATATTATTTAGTTTACCTCATTAGGCTCGATTTATTACAACAACAACAACATCATCAAGCCTTTATCCCACTATGTGGGGTCGGCTGCATGAATCCTTTTTTCTCCATTGTGTCTGGTTAAGAGTTAAATTATTATTTAAATCTAATAAAGAAAGGTCATTTCTGATATTGTCTAACTAAGTCTTTTTATGTCTACCTCTACCTTTCTTAACATAGGTTAAACCTAATACACCTACTCTCCTAACCGGGTCATCGGAAGGCCGTCGTTTTCACGTATATGCTCATTTCGTATCCTGTCTCTAAGAGTAAAGCCACTCATCCACCTGAGTATCCTCACCTCTGCAACACTTAACTTAATATTATGTTTCTCTTTTGATGGCTAACATTCTGCGCCATAAAGCATTGCAGGTCTAACCACCATCTTATAGAATTTTACCTTAAATTTGAGTGGTATTTTTCTATCACGCAACAAGCCCGATGCATTCCTCCATTTCATCCATCCAACTTTAATTATACTAATAATATCCCATCTATTTCACCATCACTATGAACAATAGATCCAAGATATCTAAAATGTGCACTATCTTATTAATGACTTGATCGCTTAAAGTCACAAACCCCCACTAGATATATTACTACTAAAAACATGTGTTGTTATTAGGTTTGATTTACTATTACAAGTTATTTCAACTCAACTCTTGGACATCCCAATTCAATTGAATCTGATTTTCATTTAAGCATACAGTCGGTTTCTCTTATTTTCTTTTTATTCATTATTTAGCCATTATTTCAAAAGATTATTTATATATTATTGCTATTGATTTGATGTTTTGGTTCTGTGAATCAATTCCATATTTGGGCCAAATATTGGAGGATTTTGATAAATTACTTATTTTGGGTCATTTTACGTTATAAATAGGACCCTTAAGAATAGTAAAATACATGAAATGATTGAATTAAAATTTTGTTTCCACTCAATTATTATTTATGTTGTTGTATGCAAATTTTTCGAGCGCACTGCAAGTCTTGACATCAACTTCTGACGGGTGATTCTCTTTGTACCAACATGAGGTATGAGCCTTCCAATTGGTGATTTATATTATAGTCCTTTCATCTAAATTAACTTAAGATTGGTTTATGTTCACGCTAGAGATTTTATTAAATTTAATACATTGTAATTTTCTTTATGTAATGGGAAAGCTAAACCTGCATACTTTTATATTTGTTCTTGCAAATTTTCAATTTTAGTGATTTTTATAATATCTATTAAAACAAATGAAGCATGTTTCTGAATTTTACATCAAAAAGAGACTATTTTTTGTGTAATTAAAAGTTAAAAAATTGTAAATTGTTGTATGTTTTATATTTTTTTGCGCATCTCATCATAAATTTGCAATAGTGAATATAGACTCTACCATGTCTTACATCAGTAAAAGGTGAAATAAAACTTGAAAGCTTAATTCATTGCGAAAATCGCCGAACTATATTGAAACAAATGGAGAATCAGAATAGAACATTTATCTTTTTAAGTAGGGGCGGTTTAGTTAGCTCGAAAAAGAATGCAGTGTAAAAAAAATACTTTTGAATTGTTTGGATGAATGTAAAGTAAATGTAAGTGAATGATTTTATTTTTGTTTTGTTTGAAGTAATGAATGTAATGTAAAGTCCAAAAAAGGTCGTGACAAACGGCGAGTGGAGTCGGCCGACAGTTGCGGCCTCCGGTGGTGATGGATAGCGGCTAGCAGCGATGTAGCAGCGATGACGGTGGTGATAGCCGACAGCGGTGGTGGTGGCCGGCGGCGGTGGCGGTGGCCAGCAATGTAGAAGATAATTTGAGACTCGTGTATGAAAGGTAAAATAACTTGGATTTATTATACATAATAAATAAAATAAAAATGGAAATATTACTTTTAATTAAAGACTAGGGGTTCAAAATGGAAAAGTAACTCGAGAGTATTATGTAATATATGAGTATAATAAGAGACATAAAAGTAAACTCTATAAATTTATAATGAGGCCAAATATTGTGGGCAATATATTTAAGTGTCTTTGGTCAATTACATAAAATGATGGGAATATAGATGAAGATAAAATTTTAGAGTTAAAGCTAGACAATTAAAAAAGAAATGTGCATCAACAATATTATATGGTAAGAAGATATGAGACAACTTTTATAAAACTACAATTAGGTTGGTGATAAAGGTTATATTAAAGTGTTTAGAATTAAAAAAATAATCGATGCAAAGTTCAACATGAAAGAAATGAGAATGATAAGATTATTGTGTGACCAAAATAGAACAAATAAATTATGAGAAAATAATAATAGAGAAATGAATGGATTGATATTTATGAAAAATAAAATAATTGAAAATAAACATAAGTGGTTTGAATGGGAACAATGAAGAGTCTAGAAAATACACTGAATGAGTATATAAAATCAGTGTTGGAGGATTAACAAGAAGAAGGGATTGGAAGTTATTAAAATGATCTGCAAAGAATAGATTTAACACCTCGAACAATACTCAGTTGAAACAAATGAATAAGAGAAAAAAAATCAGCCCCTACACTACTTCTAGGGGTTGCCTTAATCCCAAAGTATCTAATGTATCCAATGTAGCCCATTGAATCCTCAAAACTGATCTAAAATAGTCCCTTCACTCCTTAAATCTGATCCAAAATAATCTAACAAAGGATCTATTTTGCATCATGTTTGAGGAGTCAATGGACTAATTTAATATATTGGATAGTTACAACTAAAATGACTCTATACAAATAAACTATGAACCATTTTGGCCTTTTTCCCGAATAAAAAATGATGATTCATACAGTTAACTCCAAATAGTTACGATAAGTCTATTAATGATGGCGATGATGTATACAAATCTAAATGCTGGTCAATTGAAAATTTTGGAAGCTAAGTTGGGCAATTAAGAAGGATAAACTAAGGAATGATTAAAGTAACACTTACTAAAGATAAGGTAGTTGAAATTAGGCTTAGATGTTTTAGACATGCAGAATAAAGGGTAAAAATATATCCATTGGACAAGTAGATAAAATTGTATTAGAGGGTTAGAAATTTAAAAAGATAGACATAAGTTAACATGAATATAAGTCATCTGAATGATTTGTGAAGACTAGATTAACACTTTGGACGGCACTCGGCAGGAGCGAATCAACGATGAGATTCATAGAATTAAACACAAATAGTAGGTATAAGGATAGTAAAGATTATTAAAATAAATTCAATGAACAAAAAATCTACAAAAAAATCAATAAATAGAGGGCCAATGGTAAAAAGAGGGAAAGGAACAACATGATGATGAAAAACACCAAAATTCAAATCAAATGTTAGCTAAACATTCTGAAAGTCAAGCATGCTTGTATCACTAGTTCTTATTCTTACATATTTGTCACATGCATGTCAGATTTGTATGATAAAGAACAGCAGGAATGCAATTTAGTTTTGTAAGGTTTTCATGCAGCATGAGTTATAACTTTATCTATCAATTTACAAAAAATATATATTTGCAATTACAATATCAACCTAACAAAGAGCAAGGTACAAACACGTGGTGAGTGTCATCTAAATGAGCGCAAAAAGAGTTTACATTTTTGTTCACTCGAAGGGAAAATGTCCGTGAATCCAGAGTTTTGATGTTGATTCCAATGGTTGATTCTGAACTGTCAAGATTGACCTGGATAGAACTGGAGCCCTCTAAACTGGACTCAGAAGTCATCCTGCACGATAAACATAGAGAAACTGCATCATCATTCAGCTATACAGATCAATACAATGTACGCAAGAAGTAAAAATATGGTCAACTAATCAACTCTTCATGCACTGGAGAGTAGAACAAAGCAAGTGCTACTGTCGTTGCTGAAACAAAATTAGTGGATACACTCCATTGTTTTTGGCGAAGCATTTTGAGTGGGAGATAATCAACTCGCATGAAACATACACTTAAAGTGGATATTGGATGAATTGTGTAATCACTTTCAAAAAATTAAATAAAATAATTATATCTTGCTTAAATAATATATTTACAGGTCTTATAACTATATATGATTTGTTTTAAAATTAATTTGTTAATGTTATTTGCTTTGTTAAAGGTCTTGGATGAAATATTAGGAATGAACCAACTTTACAATTAACCAAAAACGTTATCTGAGACTTTATCAAAATCTTTGGGTATTGAGGCGTGTTACAAGCACCCTATTAGGGTTGTTGCATGGGTGTTGATTTCTATGAAACTCAATTATATCTCATTTAAAACAAATGAAATGTGAGAATTATAAAATGCTGAACTCGATCCAGTTGTAGAAATGATAGTCATGAATACTCATTTGAGGATATATTCAACCCACAATACAATTTGCAATAATACTCTGAATCAATATTTGATGTTGTTGAATCAAAATCTATATCTAAAATAAATTATGAATATGAACCTATATAATTGATCAAAAGTCATAATGGGTTTGAGAGTAAAATTGCTCATTACACAAATCTAAATTTGAATTTCAAATGAAAATAGAATCTATGTCTAAAAGAGAAACTAAACGATTTGATGCAATTGATGAATTAAATGAATGGATTGAAAATGCAAATTTGGATGAATTCTTCGTTGATATTCTTACCATGCCCGGTTAATCAGACCAATGATGACTTTGCCTTTTGCCCTTGATTTCATGATATATTAATTTATAAAAAGAATCTAATGGAGAAATTCATGTTGCAATAATATTTTAAAGAATTCCTTAAAAACAAACACCTTTAAACAAACCTAAATTTTAAATTTTATCTATTTGGACAATTCTAAAGGTGCATAATCCATCAAAACTTAATTTTAAATCATTTGGGCTAGTCTTATTTAAAGAAGATGCTCATCCATATAGACATGAGTCAATGACATAATTATGTAATTTGGCTTCAGCATTTCATTTTCTATAACTCATTGTAAGAAATCCTTAGAATATATCTTAGTTTCAAAAAATATCCATTAGTTTTCTCATAAAATAATAATAATTTCATGATTTGTACATATTGCATGGGATATTCGCAAAAAATTGACTGTTAATTATCACAATTATACGATTTATATTGATGCGAATAAGAGGTACATAGAACTTAAGCCTAGTGATAAGGTTATGGTATCCGTAAATCTTAAAAAAAAACTTCCATTTAAAATCATTGAGAAATTGAAAGCAATGAGGGTAGACCATTAAATACTATGCAACATATCGGAAATAATGCATACAAATTAAAAGTTTCTAAAAATTCATGTATAAATCCATTTTTTTATGAATCTAATATGACCATATTATATAAGTTTACTACCAATTCATTGAATCCTACTTCATTTTCACCTCTTCCTTATGATTCCACATCAATCCTCAGCTAAATAAATTTATGCAACTTATTTATAAAATCTATTTTAGGAATGAGATTGTGTTCACTTTAATGGTAGCTTTCAAGGATATCTTATTCGTTATCAAGTTAAACCTTACCATTATGATTTATATGTGTTTAAATTTGCTTGATGAGTGATAAATCCTAATTTTTTTTAGAACCAAATTTGTCCAACTCGAGCATATTTGATGAAAATCTTAATATCATTCTCAATAAAAGCATCATACCAAACATTATTTTTTAAGTTATGTATTTATTTTCCAATAGTTGGTTTATTTCATCAATTAATTTATTTATCAGAAATTTTAAGTGAATTTTCCTTCCTTTAACAAATAAAGAAATGAAAAAGGCACATATGCATGTTTAAGGCCATCGCTTGTGAGATTCATTTGCTTATGGCTTCCTTTCTGATTTTTTTTGGTTTTGCAATATTTGTGTTTTTCTACCTCTTGGGCCTTATCAAGTTTTGTGAGTAAGACTAGCAAAGGCGTGGTGCTTGGTATTTACATATGCTTTTAGAAGTGTGGAACTTGGTGCCATGGAACTTCCAGATTGGGTTATTTGAAAATTTAAAAGTCAAATTAAACCCTTATTAGGATGTATTAAGAATTTCTAAAAATAATTTAGAATAAATTTGAATTTAAATTAAAGTTAATCATGTTTCAATCTATGAGTAGTCCAGAAATAGTAGTCTAAGGCACTTAATTTATAATTTTTTTGTTTGAATTATATTTCACCTCTAATTATCATTTTTTTCAATTGTAAGTTGGCTGTATCATCCATTTGAGCATGGTAAGCATACAATTACTTGATTCTACGTAAAATCGGCTCGTTATACCTAGACCTTATTTTTATCTACTTTGGTGAAGTTATTCATTGCATTTTTCTTCTACATAATTTGTTATCAACTAGTTTAATATTCTAAATTTGGTTAGAAAGTAATATATTAGAAACTTAATGTTATTTAAATATAATTTATTGCTTGATGAATTAATTATTTTCAATTTTTATTGAAATTCTCGCAAACTTATAATAACTTAATTATCAGTTAGGCTTGTAAACTACTATTACTTCTTTTCATAAAAAGAAAGTGAGTTGATAGCTTGATTAGGAAATAGTAATAATAAGTAAACCCTAAATTTTCCTTTACATATCAACATACTTCACATTATATTATATTATAAAAAAAAAAAACTTCACATTATATTAGTTGCATTAAAAATCCTAACCTGAGTCATCCTGAATCAGCAATTGACACAACCAAAGGCAATTTCCAATAAAAAAAAACAAATTTTAAAAGAATTAAAAAAATCATCAAGTTTGAGAGTTTGGCATGAAGATATGATATCAACTTTGAGATAACTTATTCGTAGAGTTGACAAAATCAAAACAAACTACAAGGTATCATTATATAAGGAATGGAAATAGATTTTTGAAAAGACAAAAAAAGCATGATGTGGCGAGCATCAGGAGAAAGGTTTATATAAACAAAATTCAAGAATGTGCATGGATGCATCTTCATCATAAATTAAGTCAAAACTATAACCAAGAATTGCATGAGCCAATCATAGATGAACAAGAACAAATAAACTTCTCAAATGAAATTCAAGATATTTTAAACATGAAGCACTGATTATAGCAAGTTGAAAATAACTATACACTTTGTACATGGAATCGAGCAAAGGAATGAATGATATGCACAAAAGTATCAAATCTCGCCATCACATGAATGGTTCAAAACCTAATATATCACAAAATCATACATGAAAATAATTATATAACTAATGAAGATAGAGATTGTACATTGAAGTGGAACTTATGCAATAAGACCGGAGATTTATAACAATAATAATTATGGGTAGGGGCGGAACCCCTTTGAGCCCAGGGGAGGCAATTCCTCCCCCCCCCCTAAGAAAAATAATTTATTATACGATTTTTTAGGCAATTTGTCCCCCCTCAATTTATTTTTTAGTCTTCATTATAAGAATTTTTAGGCAATTGCCCCCCACCCCCTAAAAGTTCTAAAATACTATGGTCTTTAGGCAATTGCCCCTAATACAATTCAACACATTGTGTAGAGGTGTTGTTATTAGAGAACGATCAACCAAATACAAAGAGAAATAGTAAATCTAAATTTGTTCCTCAGGTCGAACCCCGCCAGGGGGCCCTGCCCCCTTAAACCCCCAACATATATGCCCCCCCCCCCTCTCAAAATTATGGCTGGTTCTGCCCCTGATTATGGGATTGGCTTACACTGATACTTTGTATTTGTCTGAACTCCTAACGAATATACGATACTCCTATTATTTCAAAGATTATGCCTATGCCCAATCTAAGGGTTTTTTACATACGTCACTTCCATAATACATATAAGTTATTTTCATGATTCAAACTCATTAGCTTCAAATCATAATGGACATTGCTTGATCATTGTTCCGAACCCGTCCTATGAATGATAGAGAAAATCAGATTTTGTATTTTGAAGCCAAATGAAATAATGGCTACTTGGCCTTGAATTGATCCAATAAGCAATTTTTTAAAGAAGTACAGTGCATGATGTTTAATAGTAAAAAATGCTAATATTTTGACAAGGGATTGGATTCAATTTGTTCAACTATGATTTATCTATCATCGTCTTGTCTAGAGATTAAAATAAAGGGCCACAAACCATAATAAATTCAATCCTTTCCAATGCCAATATGCCAATGTAAAGAAGTAATAAATTCTCCACAATTACATTCTCTTAAAGGTAGCATCTTTGCAAACCTCCGATGAACAGAACAGCCAAAAGATATTCACGCGCGTCTCCTTAAACAGCATAGAGTAATGGAAACAAAAACAAAAAACAAAAAATAACGCAATAACTTTATTCAAATACTATGAATAATCTAATAGTTAATTGAAAAAAAAAAAAAAACCTTTCTATCCATTAAACTACTTCAAAAAAGAAAGCTAGCACTTGCCAGCAAACCACTCACGGCCAAATACATCAAACACTGAAGACGGCGATAAAACAAGTCAAACCTCACAACCAGAAAAGGAAAAAATTTCCTACTCTTTTTAAGCGATGCCACATACCAGCAGTTCCAAGAGCTTGATCCTAAACAAAATATAATCAACCCTAACTGCGTGATACACTTGAACGATTCCTAGACGATTCCCAGAAACCTAGATCTTGCACAAACTTTCTGAACTAAGGATCTTTCCCAACAAAATTCAATTTTAAAAAGAAAAATTACATTTTTTTCCTGAATTTTTGCCAATCACCTAAGTTCTCCAAAAACAAAAACCGAACCAAGCGGTGAAAAGGATATTCAATACATAACGATTGATCGAGAAAAATGGAAAGACCGCAAGTGGATCCGATCATACCTTAAGCTCCCCAAAGAAACTATTTCCGAGGTCGATATCGAGATCAATGTCGACGTCGATACGGAGTGGACTACCGGATGCCGATAAACGAGACTGCGAGAGGTTTTTTGCCACTTCTCTCGGACCGCTGCGTTCTGTCACTCGACAACCCTCACAAGCAATTTCCTGTGACCGACTCACCGTATTCACGCCCCTGACAAATGAATAAAAATAAAATCTAGGCCGGATATTCGGATAACAATTCAAGGGATTTACATGTATGCTTATATATCAAATATATACTTTTTTAATATTTATTTATATACTATCGTAATTTTTATATAATTAATAATTAAATGTTTAGATGTTAGATATATAATTTTTAATAATTTTATTTTATATTTTTTCTTCATTTTTTAATTATAATATTTAAAAAATAAATTTATTTTGCGAATATTCCAGGACGCAACAAATATAAAATAAATTTCATGGCAAAAGTAAGAAAACTCTTTATAGCATGAAAATACTTGAGAAACAAGAAGATGTGACAAACATCGCTTGATTCTAGGCAAGGCGATTGGATGATTATAAATGTTATGGTGGTAGTTGATAGAGAGACCATGTTAGTTAAATGATCACAATCGAGCAATGTGGACTTTGGAGATCGTTTATGTTGGTCAACTGCAAACAAGCAACAATAATTGTCAACAATGAAACTTTAAGCTTCTCTAAATTTGATAACCATCTCCCCTTTCAAATTTGGAACAAAAGTCAAATTATTAAAATATTTGTCAAATATTTACATTATTTTGTGATAATTTAAACCACGCCATTGAACGACAATTTTTAATAAAACTTGAATATTATATTTTTTTTTAAATGTAAGTGTCTTATGTCATCCAACTTTCGTGATATAGATCTTATTATATTATTATCATCTACCTCCACATTTTGACAATAAGTTTACTTAAAATAAACAAAAATATTCTAATTTTTTCTAATTAAAATGCTGAATCAAAATTTATATGATTTTTTTTAAAGCATCAACGAACCCTTGTTTTGAACATCAATTTTTATTTTATCCAGACAAATTGGGTCTATAAAACTAAGTACCGTGAAATTATATATTTAAGACATTATAAAGTATGACCACTCCCTATATATAGCGAAAATAATGAACTCTGTCTCGTACTGCATAACTGTCGTGCTCGCCTGAACTAGTCTGAAAAAAGCCTCTTGCATTAACTGTCATGTAGAAAGTGGTACAAATCATGCTTGAAATACATTAGAGAACTATTCCCATTTAATCAAAGAGTTTAACTTGCATTGAAATTTATCCTCCTGCTAGCCCATACACTAGTGCTCTGCCTCATAATCTACGAGAAAGACCACTAATGATACCTTCAACTCAGGAGGACACTATATACCATCAAATGTCTTCTCCAAACTCTTTAACCAGTCCTATGCTACCCTGAGCTCAATAGCACCCTCAAATCTCGGATACTTCAATCTCAAAAATATTTACAGATGTATGTCTAGATCATCAACTATCGCAAACAGGAACCCTGCCCTACGCCTCACCAATCAACTAGGCTAACAAATTGTGAAACTATATCAGATCCCATTATCAGAGTAGTACTATGCATAGGAGTTGCATTACTAGCACTCTATCCATTTGTCATATATGGGTATGACGGATCCATAGTCACATAGAATATGAAACTAAACGTACATGCACGCGAAACAAATAATAATGAACACACAAATAGACTCAAAACTACTCACTAGACTTACATATTAATTATTATAGCTTTATTTTACAATATGATTCCAAAACTATTACTCTGATACAACAACAGCTTATCATAAGTCAAACCGATCAAGATTGATCATATCATGTTGAGCTGTGACAGACAAATCTCAATATTTAGTTTTGGAATGTTTCAAATTTTCTTCCAATATTCATTATATATATATTATCTATTACAGACGACTAAAACATTCAAATACTGAAAATAAACTCATCTATGATATTTTTTTTATTTCATTAAAATATATATACACCACAGTATATGGCTATGTGTAGAAAAAATTCACATCAAATCACATAAATCAATCTAAATTTTGAAAATATTTTATTAAATATTTAAAATTAGTTAAATGAAATCTATTAAATTACTATACTGAAAAATGTAATACAAGCATAATAATTATTCAATTATAAAAAATAGTATTGAGTAGATGAATATAATATAATTCATATCACAGCACAATTCATATCACATTTCTTGGAAATAGATAAAATCTCATAGGATTCTGACCCCCTATGACTCTCTTTTGTGTTTATAGCAACAGAATATATCCATAAGCACTAGAACATGACATATAGCTATCAGAAAATACCTTATATACAACAAATTATTTCCTGACATAAACTTTATAAAATCTCAAAAGATTTTGGTAATCTCAGAACATAACTCTTTTTTTTTAATTACTTTATTTAATATTACTTAAAGATTAAGTACATATTATTTTAAATACCAACAATTTATTTAAATATCTCTCTTCACATCCATCTCTCCCTCCCTCTTTTCTCTCATTTCTTTTTTTCTCTCTCCTATATGTCTTCTATCCCAGTCTCCTCACATCTCTCTCTCCAAAATATTTCTCTCTTGTTTCAACTGAATGTGTCGAACAATTTGGTGTATTCATAACTCATTAAATTATTTGGCGCAATTAGATTGCGCCAAACAATTTGACAAATTTGCTTCATTTTTATTTTTTGATAATCATGTTTTTCTTTGCATAATAATCACTCTCCTTTTTGAAAATCCTCTATGTGAAATTATAGATTTAAGAAAATTATGAATTATGACCGCTCCCTATATGATAACATAAGGCTTTCTTTGAAACTTATTTCTTATTGATTTTTTTAAAAAAATTTCATAGCAAAATTTTTTAAAATTAAAAATTTTTGTGCTAAAAATTTATTTAAAAAACTGGATCAAATGAAGCCTAAACCTCCACTATGAGCTACGAGCCAATTATAGTTATATAGTGAACATAAATTAAAGCTTTAGTCAATTTGAAGATCATTTAAAATTGAAATTGAAGAAAAAAATGATTATAAATTTCCTAAAATCTTTTGAAGACGGTCATAGAGATATCGTTGGGCTCTAAAATTGGATTAATTATTCTATGCGGATCTCAGATGGGGAGATGAATGAGAGCTCGCCACATCATTTTTTGCTGTATACCGGTGTTGTGTATGGGTGACGTGGTGTGCTCTCATTCATCTTCGATGGTCCGACATCTGCATAGAAAAATTTCTTCCAAAATTGGCCCTCTGTGCGAGTCTATGTTTGCATTTTATAGTTTTTTATTAAATCAATACTATTTATTATTTATTATTTTATTAATTAAAAAATTAGTTAAAAAAATTTGGCATAGCTTGTGATGTGTTCAAGGCTTCAAGCTACAACATTCAGCCGGGCACAAAATTTATCTACATCAATTGAACGGTCAAGATGACGTTTCCAAGCCACTTCTCCAGTGCCCACGTAGTCTTCAAAATAGTATTAAAAAGTTTTGTAAGCCAATCTTGAAATATTTCTTTCAAATAAAAAAATTTATTTTAAAGATATATTTAATTTTAATTAAAGAAGTTTTTTTAATAATATAATATTTAAGGCTACTACATTTTGGAAGTTTGTCTAAAAAAAGCCAAGAGTAACTTATGGATTATTAGGTGAAAAAATTTTATTATAATATTTTCATTAAATTTTAATTTGTACAAAATTTACATTTTAAGTTTATTGGAATAACTTTTTGGTTGTTTTATTTTTCATACAACAATTAAGATTTTAATTTGTTACTATTTTTTATTGTTTTATAGTGCATTCTTATATTTTGGTTGTGAAAAGTTGATTTTTATTGCTTTTGTAAATATGTTATATATAAAGTAATTTTTTAAAGCTTTTATAGTAAGCAATTTCTCAACACAATTTTTTTTTGAAAACTATCAGAAATTGTGATTAAATAAAAATTTTGATTACTATTTGAACAATAAAGCAATAAGAAAAATGTTCAAAAATAAAGCCCAAAGTTTTGTTTTAAATTGCTTCCTTATTGCTTTATGAAGCAATTTTTTAATATAAGTTTTTTTTTTTTAATTTAAAATTTTGTACTAAAAACTGCATAAAAACATTAAAAAAGCTGTTCCAAATGAAACATAAGTTGATTTTTTCATGACAACTTCATAACTAGGGGTGTCAATTTCGGGTGACAAGACGGGTTCGGGTCGAACCCATAATTTATCCGGCATTATTATGGTCAACCCGAACTTGACTCGCTTCAGATCCGAGTCAACCCAACATGACCAGAGTGACCGGGGATGATAAAAAATTGCTAGTTTTCGGGTAAAAAACGGATCAATCTCGGGTTTCCAAAAAAATGAGTTTTCGGATAAAAAACAGGTCAATTTGGGCTTCTAGGTTAAATCGACCCGGTTTTTGAAACGAGTCAATTTGTTGAACCCATATATGACCCATTTTTTGTCCAAGTTTACCCTAACCTAAACTATTCGAGTCAGTTTTTCAGGTCGTGTCAAATATTGTCACTCCTATTTATAACAAACTTTATAAAACTCAAGAAGGAATCACAATGATAAAATTAAAATTCATTAATTATATATTACATCTATTTTATAATGAATTTAAATTAAATTTATAATAATTAAAATTTAATCATGATAATTAAAATCAATCTTATTTATTTTCATCTTGATATCCAATGAGTTAAATATGAACAAAATACCTATCATTTGCAGACCTACTTTGCAACCTTACTGCAAAAGATAGAGCTGCTCAACTGCGGATGCACTAATGCTTTAAAAAGGGCAAATAGAGCTGTTCCACACTTCCAATTCTCAAAATTTTATTACAAATTAAAGCATATTCTCAAAAAGAAAATTTCCCATATCCTTTATTTATTTAAGATCGTGTATTTTTATTTAAAAATTAAATTATTCATTAAAAGAAATTCTCACTCCCTCTCCTCTCATATTTTTATTTAAAAATTAAATTATTCATTAAAAGAAATTCTCACTCCCTCTCCTCTCATTCTCACTTCTCTTTAAAATCCTTCTAAGCCATTGCTCGCTACCCGGTCTTCCTCTTTCTGTTTCTCTCTCCTTCAAACTCCAAATCCGAATCCCCAATCCCTAGCTCGCCTCTTCTCTTCTCTGT